CTGCTCAAGCACTTTTATCCTAAAATGTAAAAAAAAAAACACTTTAAAACCCGTCTAAAGATTTACCTACTCAATAAGTAAAAGCAAATTTCTCACGAAAATAAACACTTAATGTTTAGAGGTACATAAAAAATCCATTCCACCTTGCCAAGTTCAGAAAAGTTAAATTTAAAATCAACTGCCAACATCCCTCTACTGAAATCAAATTATTTTTGCCACCGTGAAAAATGGGAATATATTTTTTCTTCTTTTGATCTTAGAAAACATTGGCTCCGATATTTTAAGTAAACATCAATTTAGCGTAATGACCTGTTTCGTGTATAATATTGTCTAATGACTTAAATAATGTTTTTGAAATTGGAATAATAAATTCATTCGGTCGTGTTCGGGTCTCATTAGTTTCAGAATTCAGTTAAATGCAAAAACTGGATTCCCAATAGAGTTGGCACGCTATAGAGCATGCTAAGAAATCGTATTGAGACGGTTAATTATGTTAAGTATCGACTTTACTGAGTACTATTATTTTGGGAATTTATTGAAGAAATTTGTTTAAACGGTAATAAAAGTATATATATTAATCTTATGTAATCTAAACCAGTACTCTGACTTTCCCTATTTCTCTGAGTCCCACTATTTTTTTTTTGAATATTCACATTCGCATATGTATATTGAATTGTACATAAAAATACTACAACTGTGATTTTTCTACAATAATTGAAAGCATTACTCGTATTTTTAATTGTTTTACAAATATAGTCAATATTCTAATGACGATAATTGTATTAATAAATTTGTTACTGAAAATGGTTGAATATTAAATTTCTTAAACCTGTTCTTTGCTTGACAAGTAAGAAGTATTTAACATCTACACTCAAGTTGTTTTATCAATTAATTAAAATTATGATTAATTGATAAAACATTATAATTTATAATATATTACTTGGTGAGGAAACGTTGGGCATAGTCAGAGGTGGACTATTAAAGGCTGTGGATGATGATGATTGAAATATACTGTATAGTAACGCACAAAAAAGGAAGCTATGTACAATAAAATATATTATTTGAGACATAGATGTAGATTTGACAACTTACTTGGACTGATGACAAAATCTTTCAAAGCATGAGTTCCTGAAAACAACTTTCTCTTTAAAGTATAGTATGTGATTTTCTGCTACATTTCTTATCTTCAACGTTTAACCAAAGTAGGTAAAACAGGGTAAACGACGATCTTAAGCAGGCGCGTCGAACTTCCTCAGCTAATAAGGTTCTGTTATCGAAACTCAAGACAAGATTAGTTACGTGTTGATGCATAAACTCGTAACTTGTCTCACATTTCTTTTACGTTCAAAATCTAGCTTTTAGTTGTAATAAAAACAGACGGCGCAGTAAAGATAATTGTGTTGAACTGGCTCTATAGGATTAATTCTTTTTTTTTAATTAGCCGAAGTCTAAAAATGCTATATACAAACATTTAATGTATATACGACTAAGTTAAAATCATAGATTATAACTTACATTGCACTTTCGCAACTCGGTTTTTAACCAAATCTTGTAAGTGTTGTAATCTACTTCTAATAATTGTATCTCAGTATTGCAATAACCAAATTTAACATCAGGAGGTGGCTAGAACGACCTCTGTCTTCCATAAGCGCAGGCCTGGGGTGACAGGTGAGGCCATCTGTCACCCGAGCAGAAGCAGGCCGTGGTGACGGCGAGCGCATTATGAAGCGCGCAGTCCCTTCCGGGGGCACAGAGGGAACATGGAGGTTCCCACACAGGGAGGGTCGTCTACCCGCCGTAGATGGCCCGATACCAGGGATTTCCTTTCTAGGGTACACCTGGTTCCCCGACTACTGGTACCTGAGACGGCGTGTCGGACTCGAACCGACTTTTTGCCACCGGTAAGTGGTATCCGAAGGGATTTCCACACAGAAAAAAAAAAGTATTTAGTTTTACTTAACTATATTTATTACTGTTTATTGTGTTCAATTTTTTTCCCTTTCCAACAATTGTTGTGATGTATGTATATCCCAAAAAAATTATTGCTTATCATCATCACAATCATGATAACCCGTTATTTATTACAGTTGCATACATTTTAATTACTTAAATTTGTATAAGTATTTGTCGTTCCGTTTCTATGAGTAGTGATTTTAAAAGTCCATTTCAACTCCTCGTACTCACTTAAAATTTCCCACGAGGCACTCCAATAGCAGCTTGATTTAAGTATTTTAAGTCTTCTTAAGTCATTCGACTTAAAGAACAATTCATTTAAAAATCTCGCTTGAGTATTTCTTATGTTATATTTATATACTTCATTTTTTGTTTACATCTTGTTCTAAAACTATGAATGATTGTGATATGTGTGAAGGATTGTATTAAAACCATTTCAACTTCGAAAACCCTTACGATATTTCTACCAAATGATCTGCGTTGTCTAACCTACTCTTCAACCAAATATCTGTACTATTTTTTTTACTCTTCTGCAACCTACGTTAGAATACCTGATGCTGGATCTCCAACCCAGAACTCGTTTATTCCACAATAACAAAACTCACTACACCGGTCTAACAGAAATTAAACAGTTGTAATATTGGTGTCGCTGAGGAAATGAAGCTCATCTGTATACACCCTTATGGTTTAGATTGTGTCCCAGTCATGCAGTCAGTAGCCATTTTATTTTGCAGGTTGCCGCAATGCTCGCGTGGTTATATTTGCATGCTCGTAATAAAGCAATAAAATGTTTTTCGCCTGGCTGAGAGCTCATTTCATACAGCTAGTTTTGAACGAGAGAGTTAAGGGAAAGCTCTGTACTATTATGTTTGCTTTGCTTTATTATGTTTGTTTGCTTTTTTTCGTGGCATGAATGTATTTATTTGAATATTTTACGACCACGCTAATTACAAAAAAATGTAACCAGACGCAAATTACACAAAAGTTTAATTTATGTATGTCTCAGAAAGTATCAGTGTTATTCTCTCCCTCCATCTGTTAATGGTCATTTCATTTAGATAACTCTTTCTTATTTATTTTACCGCAATGCGTTTATAAATCCTGAAAGAGTCTGAATATTATAAAGCTAACATTTAAACCTATCTTTATGTAGTGTAATAGCTCTTTTATAATGCTATAAATTACTTGCGGTTATTATTAGAGTGCTATTTTACCCGAATCTTGCTTATATCTGGAATAATTTGGTTGAAGTATAGCTAGCAAGTAGCATTGGTTATTCGTATTGTTACAAACTTTCAATATAAACACAGGGCAGCCCGGGACTATAAACGTTAATGCTAAAAGTATAAGATAGGAAATAGATTGTCACCCAAAGTTGTTTATTATTAAAATGACCTATCGTTTCAAAAAAAACCTCATAACAATAGAAAGATGTATGATCTTTTAAGATGTCACAAGGTATTTAATTCCAAACAACATACGTAATAATATATAAATAATTAGCGATGATGTGAATTTCTTCAACATTAAATTGCAAATAACATATATTGTCTGAATGATAGTGATAATAGTGCATCGTAACACATCTCATAGTACGAATATTATCGTGGAAATTGCATACGCTGTAGCGGCGTCTAATGCCGCTAATGCGTACCTTTATTACCCATACACACAAAATAAAAAAAACAAAAAAATAATATAAAATCATATAGAAGTGCCACCATATATCAATACCACTAACAATTACAAATAACAAATATTGTGTGATGAGCATGATCATTTGTTCTGTGTCTGGGTGTAATTTATCTATAATATGTATGTATTTAAAAATATATAATGTCAGGATAATTATATATCTAAATAATTATTAATATAGAAATATAACTCTTAACATTGTAATTAGAATCAACTGTATTATACCTTTATATTTATTATTGTACTTATACTTCCGGTGTTACGATTTAGGTATTAACTAGAACAGTTAATCATAAAATAGGAATAAATGTTTAGCTAATCGAAAATATATATTTAAAGTGTATTGACAATTAAAACATAATAATATTTGTATTTAATATTACCACTTCCGCCTCAACCGATTTGGCATTTCCGTTGGGGACATTATAACGGTTGAGTCGTAAGTGAGAGAACGGGGGACACTCGATATCGGGTAGCCGAAGCGATAACAAGGGTGCTAACAGAGTGCTGAAGACTTATTGTGAGATATATAATTGTGGAGGATTACATTTGTAAAACCTGAAAATAAAATACTGAGAAACCGTTGAACTGCGTTTGAATTTTGGTCCACACCAACAGTTCAGAAGTGGGATTGGATAAGGATATACAAAACTTCCTTACACGCCAACTAAAATGTAAGTAGTGACCTTTTGTACTTTAATTATCTTCGTATCTACTTCCTATGGTTATCATTATTCGATTTTAGTAGGTAGGTACTAATGCCTAGACCCTTTATAACATTTTAAATCGCCGAGCCAATCCAGTCGCATGTTAGTTGACTTTGAAAATGCCATAAGACAACAGCAGCTAATTTTTAAGGATTCATTCTAATGATAATCACAGTTATGAATGACGGTCACATCGTTTATGCAGCGTGTCGATGAATTAATACATAACCTCTGACAGTTCAAATAACTTTTGTTTTTTTTTTTGTATGAGGTAAATTTTATTTTCTAAAACATGTGTGTGCATACGGTTGCATGCAAGGTGCTACATAATAGATTGCTTTTTTTGTGTGTGCCAACATGTATAATGCATGCAAATGTGGTACATCAATTGGTATAACAATACCAATAAGTGAATTGGAATTTAAATAAGTAAAACGATAACGTCAAAATTAAAATCAAGATTTGTCAGGTAGAAAATCAATGAGATTATAATAAACTAATCAAAAACGACTTTAATTCAATTTTGTGTTCTTTCCTCTTTCTTTTCGTTTCTTTCTGTTTGTCTCCCCTTATTTCTTCGTTCCACTTAGGATATTTGAATTTTGGAGCAAGCCGTATTAAGCTTTTGGTTTGAGTTTCAGAGCTATGGATGGCGACAAAACCCGAGGTCAAGGGTATACTGATGATGTCCGAGGTCAAGGGCTTAATAGTCACGACGTCCGAGGTCAAGGACTAGTTGACGGAACCCGAGGTCAAGGGTATACTGATGATGTCCGAGGTCAAGGACTTAATAGTCACGATATCCGAGGTCAAGGACTAGTGACTGATGGAACCCGAGGTCAAGGGTACACCGATGATGTCCGAGGTCAAGGACTTAATAGTCACGATGTCCGTGGTCAAGGACTAGTGACTGATGGAACCCGAGGTCAAGGGTATATTAATGATGTCCGAGGTCAAGGACTTATTGGTCACGATGTCCGAGGTCAAGGACTAGTGATTGAAGGAACCCGAGGTCAAGGGTATGCCAATGATGATGTCCGAGGGCAAGGACTGATGATTGAAGGAACCCGGGGTCATCGCTCGCTATCCAAAGAAACCCGAAGTCAAAGGTTCGAAGGTGACGAGACTAGCTATCCACAACAACGAGGACGATCGTCAAAGCGGCGAAGGAAACGCAAAAACAAGTATTCGAGCACGTCCAGCGATTCATCGGGTGAGTCCATCAGAACTCATTCAAAATCTAAACGTCTTAAGTCTCATAAAGACAGTACCAACGTTATCTTGGATAAAGTTCTTTCGATAGTGAGGGATGTGAGGAGTTCAGATAGACATAGATTATCTTTCGATAAAAATGTTATTCCCGAGTTTGATCCCATGACAAAGGAGCAGACTGTACTGACTTGGATTACTAAAGTCGAAGAGTCTGCGGAAATTTATGGTTGGGACGAAAGGGAGATAATCCACTATGCTCTTCCAAAACTAGCTGGCCTTGCCAAATCGTGGTATCAAGGCCTCCCATCTCTGTTGCATACTTGGTCCGAATGGAAAAAGAAGTTAATAGAGTCATTTCCGTGCCGCGAAGATTATGCTGAACTCCTCACTGAAATGCTGGGTAAACGGGTTCGGTATGGGGAGCCGGGAGCACTATTACTATGCGAAGGTCAATCTTTTAAATCGGTGTAGAATAACAGGCAGACAAGCCGTTGATTGTATGCTACATGGTGTAGACGATCGAGCGGTTAGAGTAGGGGCGCAGGCAGCACAGTTTACTGAACCGGAGCAAGTCTTAAAATATTTTAGAACTGTTAAAGTAGCAATTACTCGGGACTACAATGATCAATCGCGAAAGAATAAGACGGATAGATATGTTGGGTCTTCTAATAACCGGACTGTACAAACTAAACCGGGCTTTAGCAATACAAATATAAGATGTTCTAACTGTAATCAGCTGGGACACCCTAGCTTTAAATGTGATAACCCTCTCGTCAAATGTACAAAATGTGATAGGATGGGACATCAATCGGCTAATTGTTATACTAAACCCGATAATCCGACTAACAAATCTCAAAACGAAAAGCAAGTTTCTGAACTTAGTAAAAACGATAAATCGAATCGAACGAATCATAAATATATCATGGACATAAAGGTTAACGATGTGGTACTAGAGTGCCATTTAGATTTAGGTAGCCAATGTTCCCTAATAAGATATACTAACGCAAAATCGTTGCGTTTAGCTATAGTGACAAATGTTGAGCTACCGGTGTTACGGGGAATCGGTGCTAATCTTATCCAGCCCCTGGGATTGGTTTCAACGATAGTGCAAGTTCAGGGTATTGTAGAATCCGTAGATATGTACGTTGTAGAAGATTACGTGCTTAGACATCCAATCTTATTAGGACATTCGTTTACAGAGAAACCCCAAATAGTAATTACTAAGACCCCCGACAGAATCATATTCCACAAGATACCCTGCAGTAAGAAAATTCATCACTTCTGTCGAGATGACACCTCAATTCCGATCGAGGGTCTGCGAGCAGTACCGGTCATAAACAATACGCTAGAGAAAGGTACTGTATATGTGGACGGTTCCATTAGGGGTCCGGATACCCAAAAATATTACCTTCTACCTGGTGAATATAGTATAGAAAATAATATTTGTGCCCTCCTCATACATAACATGTCCAAATCGACAATTAATATAGAAAAGGGTTCATTGCTTACTAGAGCTATGCACATTCGCAACACATTAAATGCTCACGAAGTTACAATTAGCACAACCGAAATCGATGACTCTGTGAACTGTAATCCTAATTTTACCGCTGAAGAGCGCCTGTCTCTTCAGAATGTTCTATCAGATTTTAAAGATTGCTTCTCTAGTAACCTCAAAGATCTTGGATTAACGAACGCCACTGAAATGACTATTGATTTAGCTGACTCTACTCCGTTTGTTTATAGGCCATATCGTATGGCACGTTCAGAAAGACAGCTAGTACAAGAAATGGTACAAGAAATGATAGATAGCGGTATAGTTAGAGAATCGTCTTCACCCTATGCGAGTCCAATAGTACTTGTTAAGAAAAAGACCGGGGAGAAGAGGTTATGCGTTGATTACCGCGCTTTAAATCGTAAGACCAGAAAAGACCATTACCCTTTGCCAAGGATTGAAGACCAACTGGACTTGCTTGTAGGTAACAGTTTATTTACGTCATTAGATTTAGCGTCAGGCTATTATCAAATACCCAAAGAAGAGAATTCTCGTCATAAAACAGCCTTTGTGACTCCCGATGGGCAATACGAATATAATAGAGTGCCTTTTGGACTCGTAAATGCGCCATCAGTATTTCAAAGAACCATAAATAAGATTCTCGCAGAGGCCAAAGTTAAATACGCTTTAATATATATGGATGATATTTTAATTCCATCCAAAAACTTAGAGGAGGGTCTAGTCAGATTAAAGGAAGTACTCGGGCTACTTAAAATAGGTGGGTTAACACTAAAATTGAGTAAATGTTACTTTTTCTTCGATATGATAGACTTTCTGGGGTTTGAAGTTAGCGCAGCCGGAATTCGTCCAGGATTGAAAAAGACTGAAGCGGTCCACAAATTTCCAAAGCCTAAAAACCAACATGAGCTCCGTCAATTTTTGGGATTATCAGGCTTTTTCAGGCGATTTATCAAAGACTATGCTATTATAGCTTCTCCATTAACATACCTACTAAAGAAGGACCAGAAATGGGCCTGGAGAGTACGGCACGAAACGGCTTTTACACTGTTAAAGAATTTATTATCTTCGCGACCTCTTCTTTCCTTGTACAATCCATTAGCGGAAACGCAGCTCCATACTGATGCAAGTAAACATGGGTTGGCCGGTATTTTACTCCAACGTAACCCTGACGGAGCGTTGCAACCAGTTTCGTATTTTAGTAGAAAGACCACTGCGGAAGAACAAAAATATCATTCTTTCGAGCTAGAAACCCTGGCCGTGATCGCGTCTTTAAATCGGTTCAGAGTGTACCTTATCGGAATTGCGTTTACAATACATACTGATTGTAGCGCTATTCGATCTACCCTCACAAAAAGGGATCTGGTGCCGCGCATAGCCAGATGGTGGATACAATTGCAGGAATTTGACTGTGCGATAGAATATAGATCAGGTAACAAAATGTCCCACGTTGATGCACTAAGCCGTAACCCCATAGATAGCGAACCAAATGAGTCTCATATTCTCGATATTTTGCTAGTCGAATCGGAACAAGATTGGGTTACTACCATTCAGTCAACCGATGAAGATATCACTAGAATAAGAGAAATTCTCAGTAATCCTAATTCGGGTAATGTAGTCGATATATGTAAAAACTTTAAACTTAAGCACGGCCGTGTCTATCGCGTAGTAGGCGATGAAATAAAATGGGTCGTTCCCAAAGGCGCAAGATGGCAAATTTTGAAGCGAAACCATGATGATGTAGGGCACTACGGATATGAGAAAACTTTAGAGCGAATTAGGTAACACTATTGGTTCGGGAAAATGAGACGCTTTGTTAAGAAATACGTATCGGCATGTTTAGAGTGCGCACATCACAAGGCTCCAGGTGGTAAACGCGAAGGAGCATTACATCCCATTGAGAAAATAAGTGTACCGTTCCATACTATCCATGCGGATCATCTGGGGCCTTTCGTAAGAAGTAAACTTGGTAATTGCTATTTATTAGTTATTATTGACAGTTTTACAAAATTTATAAATATAACTGCAGTTAAAAACACGAAATCGTTGACAACAATAAAGGTATTCAGAGACCATATTCGTTTCTTTGGGGTCCCAACGCGTCTTATTACGGATAGGGGATCAAGCTTCACCAGCAAATCATTCAAAGAGTTCACGGAAGAATACGGTATAAAACACGTACTAAACGCTGTAGCAACCCCGAGGGCAAATGGTCAGGTAGAACGCTTTAACCGAACTATTACCGAGGCATTGGCCACATCTAATCACGGCAAGGACGAGAGACGCTGGGATGAGTCTATTATTGATGTTCAGATAGGTTTGAATACCACAGTACATAAAACAACTCGGAAATCACCGTCCGAGCTTTTATTCGGCTTTAACATTAACCATAGGGCTCAAGGCATATTGAGCACAATAATTAACGAAACTATTAACGTCATACCATCCGACGAACTAAATACGATTAGGGACGAAGCTTCCAAACGCATCGAAGTACAACAAAAAAAAGATGTTGAACGTTATAATAGTCGCAGAAAACCATGTAAGAAATACAATGTCGGGGATTTAGTTAGGATAGAGAGACAAGTACCTCATTGGTCATTCACAAAAACTCGTTGTAAAATATCAGGGACCTTACCGTATCGTAAAAGTGCTCCAACACGATAGGTTTGTAGTGGAAGATACTCCTCTATCTCGCAAAAATGGTCGGCGTTATGAGGGGATTGTAGCGATAGACAAGATACAACCTTGGATGAGTTTTGATCGGAACTTTGACAGTAGCCCTAGCGAAGACGATAGTGATATTAACGAAATTGCTAATGATAATGAGTCTAACAGCCTTAATGATAAGGCCACCGAATAAGTGATTAAATGTATGTGGAATTGATTATAAATATATTTTTGAATTATATAAAGCCCTAAAGGTAAGGCAACTGAATAAGTGATTAAAACGTACGTGGAATTAAGTATAAATATACTTCTGAATTATGTAAAATATATTAGAAACCAAGATTTAACATTATGTTTGTTATTTTCTGTGCGCGATGGGACTCGCGACAAGTAGGATGGCCGAGCTGTCAGGATAATTATATATCTAAATAATTATTAATATAGAAATATAACTCTTAACATTGTAATTAGAATCAACTGTATTATACCTTTATATTTATTATTGTACTTATACTTCCGGTGTTACGATTTAGGTATTAACTAGAACAGTTAATCATAAAATAGGAATAAATGTTTAGCTAATCGAAAATATATATTTAAAGTGTATTGACAATTAAAACATAATAATATTTGTATTTAATATTACCACTTCCGCCTCAACCGATTTGGCATTTCCGTTGGGGACATTATAACGGTTGAGTCGTAAGTGAGAGAACGGGGGACACTCGATATCGGGTAGCCGAAGCGATAACAAGGGTGCTAACAGAGTGCTGAAGACTTATTGTGAGATATATAATTGTGGAGGATTACATTTGTAAAACCTGAAAATAAAATACTGAGAAACCGTTGAACTGCGTTTGAATTTTGGTCCACACCAACAATAAGTATGTTTATCAGCAGTCTGGCCACCATAGCACAGGCTCTGCCTAGTTTGGGATCAGGCGGCCGTGTGTGAAATGTGTGAGGTATATTATATTATATTTATATTATATTAATTATAATTCTTGATGTGACATTTTAGGTACTTCATTTATTAAACACAATTACTGTCATATAGATTATTTATCATTGAATGGGTGAACTGCATGAGGAGTAAATTGTTTTTTAATGCTCTAAGTTCCAAACTCCAGGCGGGACGGATTAAGAATACAGAGTGTTACCACCCCTATCCATCCCGTGAGGGTCGTATAAGCAACTAAGGGAACAAACTACGCATGACAACAGCATTACAAAGAGAAAGAAAACTTGAAACAAACCCTATTATATACCAACCCGTCTGGCAAACGTGCTATACAGTAGGCCCAAAACCTGAGAGACATATGTCCAACAGTGGACTGTTACAGACTGATGATGATGATAAAGTTCCCAACTTACTCCTGTTTTATCCAAACTAAGAAATGCTTAATAAAAAAAAATAAGACAAGTAAGGGTTAAATAAACACACATCTCTTACACAAGATTTAATAACCTACTATTATTCACATACCCACATTTTTGCCACAAAACAACCGACATATTTATTCTTCATTTAACACAAAGAACCGATCACAACCATTAGCATCGCGCAATATTAATGAATTACCATCACAGAGCAGCGGTAAACGAGGTAAAATATTAACAAAATAAATAAGCAGATTGGGTCTCATAAATTAAAACGGTACATTATAAATTAATTTGAGTAAAACATTGGAACACTCTTTATAATTTACAATGGCGTCGTCATGTGAATGTATTAAATTTATTGCTCTTCAGTTAACATTTTAACCATCCGTTTATAATGATTTGTTAACATTGTACCGGCAGATAATTTGTTATATAATTTTGTTATTGATAACTATTATAGCTATGTATATAAAACCTTAACGGGAAGGACGAATTCAAATTTCTATTGTAAAGAGTTATTGGTGGGATTGCCACATATATGATTATGTTTAGACAATAGTGGTAAAAATATAAACTGACTAGTGTGATTTGTATGCTGATAACGAAATGAAGGAAAATAATAAAATAACACGAGTCTTCTAAATACACCGATGTAAAAAAGAGGGGGAGATAATAACCGATTTAACGTGTATATCTGTGTGTCTGTCTGTGTCAACAAAACTCCTAAGCAATAGGACCTAGAGCTAGCATTAAGAAATCTAATGAGGTCGGTCAGATTTTATTACCTTGATTTCTGAAATTTTAAGTCCTTGACGATATGGCCATTATCCGTTATCCGTCAGCGGGAGGTATCATTAATCTTTCTATAAATTAACGCTAAATTAAAATTAGGGAATGGGTTGCTTTCATATTTCAATGACAAACAAAGCCTATTTTGTAGATCTCTCGGATCACTAGGATCCTAATACCCCTTTGTCGATTCCCGTGAGAAAAAAACCATATGATTTTAAGCAGTTGATGTCTAATGTAATAAGTATCACTGTTAGCTATGACGCTGATTTTCCCACATGTTTTGTATGATCACCATAAGATTTATAATAATGAAAATAGCGAAAGTAGACTTGTTTCATTAATACTAATAAAAATGAAATTTAAATATTTTTTCTGAGCAAATGTATAATTGATTAAATTCAATTCACTGGTGTACTACATAATGCTACGATTGAGTGATGTAGTCATTCGTATTCTCAGCTTGTAACACCTCGTAGATTCTCGTAGAGTTCGTAGCGGCGCGGCACCGACACGCGTCACGGGTTCGCCCGAATGTCAATTCTGTCGCCTCGAAAATTCTAGTATCCTTTTGTATAAATGTCGAATTCATTTTACGTAAACTGTTCGTATCGTTGTAAGGATAGAATTCTTTACAATAAACCTCAATGTATTTGGTATTAAAATGTATAAAATAATCTCCATCAGAAAAAGTAGAAGAGTTTATTCAAGAGTTTGTTAGCATAGTCAGTAGTCAGAATTACAATAATTAAAAAAAAAGCGAGGGAGCATTAGTGAAATACTCTACTAGCAAAGTATCTGCATCCTTAGAAGTTAAAAATTAGTTCTTGTGCGCTGGTGAGTGGTAAACGAGATTTTCAGAGATTTTGGTACACGTATAATGTACTCAATGCACATTAACACTTCAATTTTGTAGCCCTTTAATGTTACAAACAGGTTTTGTACCTGTTTTAAGAGTGACCGCTATAAATGGTGTCAAATGTGCTAATTATAAAAAAAAAAAACTACTAAGAAAATACACTATGAGTAGATGAAATCACGATCTTATGGAAACCTAAAAAATTACCACACCATAAGGATTATATTCGTACGAGTATATATATTGCATTACACTCACGCATCACGCTGCAAATAAAGATGCTCTATTATGATGCTTTTGATCATTATCAGAACCAATTTACAATGTACATTGGAGTACGCTTGCCTAGATACTCATTGATTCGTGATTTAAACATACTCAGATAAAGTTATCGGTAAACATACATATATCCTGTCAAGTAGTTTCAAGTCTTTAGAATTTTGATTATAATAACGATACGAAATGATTCTGTTCTACAAAAATTACAAGAAGTTTACTATAAAAAAAATGGTTGTCAGACATCCAAGCCCATAGCGTTAGTTTTTAGCGTTAGCCTAATAAATCTGCCCCTGACAGGCCAATCCAACCTCTCTGCAAGTACCCTCAGTATGCTGTTGGTGCTCATCCCGACTCCGCGATTAATGGATGCTACCTTCTTACGCATTATCGCGTAGTTATCATCAATGCGTACATCAGTAAACATGCCTGATGCACTGCAATACTGGGGAAGCCTCAACAACGCCCTGAAGGTATGGTTATACTGTATACATAGAGCATTGTTTGATTTTTGGGTATGATTAACCCAAAGACTGCTGGTGTAAAATGTTTGGTGTAAAATATTTTACCTTGAACAGTGTTATGTTAACAGGTACAGAGCAACCAGCAAACCTTCGAACCACCATGTTCCCCTCACTGCCAATGCCCTGCATTCCTAATCCATATCCAAATCATCCCTCAGTAGCAATGTGACCCAGATATTTAAACTGACTTACTCTCTTTAGAGTTAAACCATTAGGTGTAACAGAAGGGACATCGGTACGATTTTTATTACTACCTCTGAACCCTAATAGTTCACTTTTATTAGGATTATATTTTGACCCATGTTGTTTTGCATAATTTTCACAAATTAACACCTATTTTCTTATTCCACATATTGATGGACTAAAAATTATCTGATCGTCTGCATAATTTATGTTATTTAGACATATTCCATCTATATGACAATATGAGCTGTTGAGCTTAAGAAGCAAATTATTGATACATAAATATTAAAAAACCTCAGAGAGGTAAGTCCCCCTGCCTGACAATACACTCCAGTTTATATGGATCAGATAACCAGTTAAACACTCAACATAGTTTTTTTGCTTGTCATACCACACAGATAATATAGATACCAATGAGGCGGAAACGCCCGTCCTCTCTACGCTTTGACCAAAGGACACTATATCAAAGGCTTTTGAGTGATCTAAGAAGCAAGCATACACCGGTGTTTTTTTTTATCCGTGAAGGATTTGGCAGTGTGCTTCAATGTAGAAATTGCTCTTTCAGTAGATAGCCCAGCACGGAAACCGAACTTACTATACTTTTTTCTTATTTTATTAATACCCTCTAGTCATCATCATCAACATCATAGACAGCCTATAATAGTCCACTGCTGGACATAGGCCTCTCCTTAGAAAGGAGGTTTTGGCCGGTGGTTGACGGGTTGGTATAAGGTTTGTTTCAAGTTTTCTTTCTTTATGCAGTGCTGTTGGCCTGTGCAGTTTATTCCCTTAGTCGGCTCTTACGACACCCACGGGATGAATAGAGGTGGTGACATTTTCGTATTCTTAATCCGTCACCACACGGAAGTCCGTCACCACACGGAAGTCCGTCACCACACGGAAGCTCCTCTAGTCGGTATCATTATTTAGATGAAATGTGTTAATTTTTAAATTTATTAAACACTTTTATAACTTAAGTATTTACAGTTAACAGACGATAGTTGGCGCTCAGCTACTGTGAGCGTTTCGAGACACTTTTTGCCTCGCACAACCAATCTGTGGAACGGGTTATCGTGTGCGGTATTTTCGGACCGATACGACCTTCAAAACTTCAAGAAAAGAGCGTACTCTTTCCTAAAACGTTTGTGACTCCTGAGTTGCAGATGTTCATGGTCGGCGATGGTCACTTTCCGTCAGGTGACCCGTTTGCTCGTCTGCCCCATCTAACATTAAAAAAATAAAGAGTTTCCAGGAGTATTATATCTTCAAATAGGCTATGCGATAATGTATTCTCAAGGTACAGTTGCTATCTATCGTATGGGTATTTCGTGGATTGCTTTGTAATAATCATGCATAACATCAAGAGCTTAATACTTAACGTTGTTTATGTTTAAATAAGTTCGTTTCAACTTTAAATACGCCTTATTCGGAAGATAAGCCATCCAATTCGAAAACTTGGTCCCCTAATCTAAAGCCTAAGCTACCCAATCAACAGTCACACGGGATAATCCAAATTGGGTAAACAAAATCTACGAAATGGTTGTTTTACTAGTAATAATTCCATGTCTAAAACCTCCGCCAAGAGTTTTCTGACGAGGGAACATTTATCTCCCTGTCATAGCGTCATAACTAACTGTCGTCTTGATCAAATCTATAGTTGCTACACGATAGTATATACATACGTACATGATAATATATACTTCTAAACTATACCGTCTTCATATCTTCCAGAGTTTTCCTATAGAATTACAGCACGTATATACGAGTAGATACCTATACATACGCAGCGATATTATTATTGATAATTTGTCGATGTTAATAATTGCTAATGATGCTCTTTATATAAATATAAAAGTGTTATTGCTGTACAATAAACACATGTTACTATCAAAATCTTCTCCTGCTCTAAAATCAGTCACCTCGTTCACATTTGGCTACACGGATAGCGTAGTGGTTTAAGCGGTCACCTCGCTGCTGCCTACTGCGTTGTGTGTTGTGGGTTCGATCCCCACATGAGGCAACACTTCCCCTAATTGTTAGTCTAAGTCAGGGTGTTCTTTGTGTCCGTTTTATGAATGTTTGTAAAATCCCCCGCAACACAGGACATATTCCTAATGCAGGAGAGGGGTGGTTCCTAAGGGGTGTCTTTTATTTAAAAAAAAATACATTGCATAAAAGCTTGATTATGCTAAGGGTTGACACTATAAAAAATACTGGTTCTTTACATTGTATTCTCAAATCGAAATAATTTAATGATATTGATTTACGATTTATGTTTTTTTTATTACTCAAGACTTTTTATCTCTTTGTGGTGACTCCCTGTTGTAAATATCAGTGGAAAAATCAATTTTAATGTAAATGGATGAAACTACGTTAAATCAATAATTTATACCTAATGATTCAGAAAAATCTGACTATTTGAATGGATATACCATTCAAATCGTCCAAAATTCAGTTTTTTTTTTTGCGTTACTCATTTTACGAAAACTCGTTTTACGTAATTTTACTGTCCTCAAGAAACAAACTATGTATGTTTAAATATGTAATTATAGTCATACATACATTAGATAAAATATAATAATTTCATTGTATAAGCATTTAATACTATTAAAACACAAAAAACATTCTTAAAGGACTCTAAATACTAATAATAAGCATTAGATTTTTAAGAAGCATAATGACTCACGAAAGCTCTACTTACTAAACTATTTTATCCCTGAACCAATAGCTTTAATTTGATAGGAGCAATCTCTGAATATCGAAGATCTTCGATATTCAGATATTGTAGTACCTAAGAACACTTGGGGAATAGACAATTAGTTCAAAATAGAGTTTGAAGCTGCTTTGAGCTTAATAAACTAATATTACACTACTATTGAAATATTACAATTGTTCCTTCAACTCTGACAAATTATTAAAGTTTTCACTTAGCTAGTACAATTTGTACAGTTTTGAGCCACATATCCTATTAAAAAGATCTGACTTTTGTAACCTACGAGGGTTACACAAGTCAGATCTTTATTATTTTATGTATATATATATATATATTATTTTTCTTACTTGATGATATTTTCAAAGTAACGCCGACACCCATGTCATAAAGAACAATTCACATCAGTTTCTCTTGATGGTAGAAAACTGTAGATAATATCTGAATGTACACTGAAAACTAAATACAATTCAGAGGAATAATAAAGCAAGCAATATATTTGCTTTCCAATTAAATATTGTAATGCGCAGAGTTGCATATGATCAGAGTCAGTTCATTTCATTTTCGATTCACGAAATTAATAATTCGCATTTATGTTCAGTTCAGCAGCAACACCGAGTCAAATATGAAGGACAAGGTTTCGAATATTTTACAGGTGCTAACAGAAAATCAGCTTATTTTATTATTGTTACTAATATACCGTTTAAATAAATATACAGGGTTATTGTTTATGGCGACCTACATACTTTAGGGGGTTATAGTGCACCAGGGACTTCCTTTCTAGGGTATACCTGGTTCCCCGGCTATTAGTACCCGGCGACGGCGTGCGGTTTTAGTCGGTTCGAGTCCGACATGCCACGCCAGGTGGTATCCGAGGGGATTTCCGCACGGAAAAAGAAAAAAAAAAAAAAAAAAAGGGGGTTATAGTGACCATAAAGATTTTACTAGGAAATACCATATACCAAACGTAACCATTACATATTTTTGTGATCCCCTTTTAATTTTCTTGATTTTGATACCCTACTTGATAGGTATGGTTATTTTTTTTAAATTATCCTATTAGGTACTTTTTTTTTCGTTAAATATACACCATTTTGTTTGTGTCTTTCAATAAAGTCATCTAAGGACACTTGGGTTTTTGAAACGGAAAAAACAATACAACAATACCTTAACAGTCGAAATCCATCCAGCTATTTGGAA